TTTCTTTTTTTTTACTATTATTATATTAATTTTGAGTATACATACTTTACCTAAAATCAAAATACATTACAGTTATGAAAATAAAAAGAGGACAATACATAAAAAAATAGAGAGGCCTAACTCTTATTACATTAAAATACACCTACAGCTAAAAGGCTTAGTACTTTTTTTCTTTCATCAAAATACATCATAGCATACATAAAAAAAGTAAACTGTTGATAAGTAAAATAGGGAAATAATGACTTTAAAAATTCTAAAAGACTGGTTATCCATATCCACAGCATCAAATCAACTACAAGAAAGCAGAATAACCCTAACATGTTCCTTGCCCTACATTCTTAACTTCAATGAAAGGTTTTAGGTCTACCAAGTCTACAGTTCATTAGTAAAACCTAATGTTTGCAATGTGTCAATTGCAAACATAATTACTACATTTTATGTGAATGAAAATAAAATCAAAATAAAATATATTGTTAACTCTGGCATCTATAAACAAAACCCATCTTGGCGCTTAAAAAGTTATGTAAAATGTCCATATTTGGAGTCATATGACATAATGGCAATGAACTATCTTGCTATGCTACAATCTAAACCAAGTTCTGACAACACATTCTCAATCCATCCATACAACTGATGTCCAACTATGACAGACAGACATGCAATCAATCTATGTCTGATGTTTCAGCATATGACAAACTAATGCATTCCTCTGAGAGGAACGGTATGGACATTTAGAACAAGTGTATGGCTTCTCTCCAGTATGAATACGAATGTGAACTTGAAGACTATCCTTCCGAGAAGCACGAAAGGGACAGTAGGGACAGTTAAATGGCTTCTCACCAGTGTGGGTGCGAACATGTAACTTCAAGTTGTCTTTTGATGCAGCACTGTAGTTACAGTATGCACATGTAAAAGGTTTCTCTCCAGTGTGCGTACGAATGTGCTTTGTTATGTGGTCTTTCCTAACGGTGGAATATTTACAGTATGGGCACTGGTGCATCTTGCCGACAGCTCCTCTCCCGCTATTCCTCGAACCATCACTGTTCAGTCCCACCTGTCGGGAACGCCTATCTCAATTATCATCATCATTAAAGAACTACCAATTGAAGTTACAAAGAAATTCAGAACATTAAGCAGACAAATGACTACATTTGCTTTACATGCTGTCATGACTAGACACATTTTTGGTTCGGGGAAAATTTTTCTCTTTTGTTTACAACTGACTTATGCATTCAAGTCTTTTGCCCAAATAAGGAGCTTCTTATCAATGTAGCACCAATAGCACAGCATTAAAACATTACAACATCCTACAACACACCATAAACCTTGGCTTGCCCTCACTACTGAGGCGCAAATTCAACTCTATACCATAAGTTCTTCACTTACAGGACCTTAATATATAATGGCAAATTTGGCAATCTGACCCAACAATATATATGTATATACATATGTCACATATAATACGCATACATGTGTGTATATTTATGGAAGCACATACAGATACACACAAATATGCATTTGTATATGGAACACACTCCAAATATATTTACATATTTAGTGTTGAATCTTGTCACAAAGACTTTTATATTGAAAAACTCAAGACAAAAAATCAGGCTGGTATAAGAAAATGGTGAGTGAATTTCATCCTACACATCCTATCTAAATCCAATTCATAGTACTTAACAAATTTTGAAAGCTCATAAGGATGCAAGATTATTCAAGATATCAAACAAACCAAACAAAACAGAACACTGTAAATAACAATTGTGTTGGCATTTAAACTGCAATCTTATCCTTTCTTTCTTAGGAAAACCAAAACCTTCACAAAGTCATGAATGAGATTCTTTCAATACTGAAACAAGGCCTTTCTGTATATATGAATTTCAGCAAGTTACTTCACTCCAAATTTAATCCTTTCTTGTATAAAAAAAAGTAATACCCCAACATCCATTATCTTGGTATCAACCAAACTGATATCAAAAGCAACCAAAAAGAAAATTAAAGGGAGAGGGGGGGGGGGGGGGGGGAAGGAAAGTGACAACCATTCTTCAAGTGAAGTTTTGATGCTTCAACATGTGATACTTTAAGGCATAACTCCGAGATGCACGGTATGGACATAAGGAGCATGAGTAGGAGCCTCCTACGTGATTTAGGCTTTTGTACAAGAGCTGGTTCTTTGCTGCAAGGCTTTGGGAGTGACTGTTGTAAACTGATAGTGAGTTCTCTCTGGTATGAGTGAACAAGTGCTCAGTCATGTTGCACTTCAGAGATGAAGAATAATTGCAGTAGGGACATTGGTGAACCTTGTCGAGGGCTCCTCTCACGTAGCTCCTCGAACCAACATCTCTGTTTAGCTCCACCTGCCGGTAATGCCATCTTGATTACTAGGTCAAACTAGGGATCCATTCGTAGCCAAATGGCTCTGTCAACAGACTAATGTATTCTATTTCCTAAATGACATTTAGTTTACATTACTGTTCCATCAGAAACACAATCTTCATTTTAAATGTGCCTTGAAAAGTAAAAATATTTCTAGAGTCTGTTACTGATGAATGACCTTGATGACAAAATTCTGACAAACAAAAACAAACTAAATTTTTTTTTTTTTTTTTTAATAAAAATTTTAAAAAATAAAAATATGATTTCATCTCTTGCATTATGGCGAAGGCTTCAATTACAAGAATATACAAAAAAAAAAACTGGACTAGTATTTGTAAAGGAGGAAAATAAATATTGGCAAAATGTGAAGTCATCACTAATTTTTTTGTAGTCATTTATCAAGACCAGTGTTTGATTATACTGATCGAAAGGGAAAAGACTTTTCTATAAAAAAAGGACCATGTATATTTTGGTCACCATGGGTTTAATAACAAATTAAAAATAAAATCTTATGCTAATACAAATCTTCTTCTTAATATATATAATTCAAAGGGTAAACTGACCATCACTATGTATCCACTTAGAAGGAAATGAAAATTAATTACATTTCTTGAAACATTACCAAATACTAAGTGTACTCTAATACAAAATCTAAAATCTGGATTTTCAAAAATGATAAGCCACCAATTCTAGTGCAAATAAATATCAAATATTTACACAATTTGTAATTTAACAGCCCTTTCTTTATACAATGGACCAAAGAAGGGGGAAGACAAAGGGAAAAAAATAAACAAGTTACTTTTTATGTCTTGCCATATGGCATAACAATGCTGACCTTTGTGAAGCTCGATATGGGCACTGTGTGCATGAATATGGTTTTTCCCCAGTGTGGATTCTGATATGATTATTCATGGTATTTTTGGTGGATGATCTGAATGGGCAATATGGACAAGAGAAGGGTTTCTCTCCAGTGTGGATACGTATGTGCTGATGCAATTTGTCCTTTTTAGTTGCACAATATGAACAATAGGGACAAGTAAATGGCCTTTCTCCGGTATGAGTTCGCAGATGCTGTATCAATTTGTCTTTTGTGGTTGCACTATAGGGACAGTCTTGACAGGTAAATGGTTTCTCTCCTGTATGAGTACGAATATGTTTTGTCATGTGATCTTTCCTATCTGTGGAATATGTGCAGTAGGGACACTTGTGCACCTTGCCGTCAGCTCCTCTGCTGCTATTCTTCGAACCATCACTTCCCACCTGTCGGGAATGCCTATCTTAATTATTGTTATCATTCAAGTTAACATAAACTACCTTAATTCTGAGGGAAAGTAACTTACAGTAAGCACTATATCTGTTACTTAAGTACTGAGAGAATTTACCACTCACACGAAATTCCCTTCCAGTCTTCACAAGAACAGAATTAGCGACAATAGCATACCTTGCAAAAATATGTAATGCTCTTGAAGTCACATGTTATAAGCATTATCAAAAATCATTCCTATGTAACCCACATTCATAAAGCATCCTTCTAAAAAGTTTCATATGGAGCTCCACACAAAAAAAGCCATTAAGTAGAAGCACCACTTCTATTTCTAATTCAAACTAGACATTTGATATCAAGTCACAGACACTAGAAGTCTGACATCAAAATACTGTAACTTACAAAATTTGTACCAACTGCAATAGCTATGTAATACGTATTTCTTAATATTTAGCATGGCTTCAAAATTGAAACTTTGTTATTAGTCATTTCTGAATTACAAAAATCTAGAAAAAAAATATCTTCTGAAGTGTCCAGCACATTTTAAAATAGCACTGGCATAAGAAAGCTAAGACCAACCAGAAAGTGTGATCATCCTACATGACATAAGATGTCTAGTGTGATTCTGAATATAGTCATATGACAAATTACATACTTACTATTTAGGCCAAAAAAAGGCTATGAAATATTTATAAAATGCATCTCCATTCACACCCAATATACTTTACCAAGAGGTTTTTATTCTAAGATACAAAAATTTATCTAAATAATACTGATATTTATTAGAAATGATAATTTTAGGGAAGCTCTATTTCTTCTCTGCCATTAAACTTATTGATCTGGGTACATCTACAAGCTTCAAATTTTGCCCGAGGACTAATCTTTTAGATCAGCATGGACTTTCATATGGTTGTTTAATGTTGCTTTTGTAGTTGACCGATATGGACAATGTGGACATGGGAATGGCTTTTCTCCGGTATGGATGCGAATGTGCTGCCTTAACTTGTCTTTCTTTGTGGCAGAGTAAGAGCAGTAAGGGCATGAAAATGGTCTCTCTCCAGTATGGGTGCGCAGATGCTGTATCAGTTTATCTTTTGTTGTGGCACTGTAAGTACAGTATTGACAGGTAAAGGGTTTCTCTCCAGTGTGAGTTCGAATATGCTTTGTCATGTGGTCTTTCCTATCAGTGGCATATTTGCAGTACGGACACTGGTGCACCTTGGTGACGGCTCCTCTCCCTCCGTTCCTCGAGTCATCATTGTTCTCTTCCACCTGTCGGGAATGCCTAACTTAATTATTGTCATTACTCAAATTCCAAACTACTGCCTTAACAATAAAAAAATTTGTGGAGTTATAGAGTACAAACTAGACTTCAACTCTACTAAGGAAGCAATTACTCAAGCCAAAATACGGGATACATTAATTTTTCATGCATTTAGCAAATACAATTTTCTTACAGCTTATGGCTAAGATAGCAAAATTTACTCTTACTCTACATAGACTTATATTTTTTTTTCTTTTATTCAAGTAATGATGCTCTAAAAAGATTAGCGACAGGACAGAGAAGGATACTCGTCTTTCCAACTAGTTGTGCACCAGTGGCGACTAAGATGGACCTTAATTCATAGACCCTATATAACTTTCTCAAAGCTTACTTCATGCTCTTGCTAAGAAAGAATCCATCATGTCCCTTCTTTTTTAAAACTAGTGATACTTGATAACTATGAAGGGACTCTCTCATTAATAAATAGTTTGAAATCAATTATAATTACCAAAATAGCTATATTGTCCTCATACCAATGAAAAAATATACAAATTTTAAATTTACATATGAAAACAAATAAAACACCTTGATCTTCTCTGAAGGAGATTATTTAAAGAGAAAGACTAATAAAGGACCTCTACTATGTATGAACTTGTGCATGATTCTTTAAGGTAACCATAGAACAGCAGCGAAAAGGGCAATGTGGGCAGGCAAAAGGTTTTTCTCCAGTATGAGTTCTTATATGCTGCTTAAGTTTGTCTTTCTTTGTAGCACTGTATGAGCAATGAGGACAAGCAAATGGTTTCTCTCCTGTATGAGTTCTAATGTGTTGCATTAAATTTTCTTTAGTTGTTGCACTATATTGACAGTAAGAACAAGAAAAGGGTTTCTCTCCAGTGTGAACTCTTATATGCTTTGTCATATGGTCTTTCTTAACAGTGGAATATGTGCAGTAAGGACAGTGGTGCACCTTGCCGACAGCTCGCCTTCCGCTATTCCTCGTTCCCTCATAGTTCAGTCTCACCTGTCGGGAACGCCTCTCTTAGTTATTGTCATCAAACTTAGATTATATTCTGAAGCAAATCAATATAATATCCCATCTACTTTCTTATTCTTAATTCATAAATATGTCTATGTATGATACTTCTGTCTACCTTACAATGTGATGAATGGATGAGCATAGCCCTTATCAACAAGAGCATGTGTTTGGGTTGGTAACTCTACTTCTTTTGATATGTGGAGCTTGACTTAAGGAGGTAAGATGATTTTTGAGCAATATGTAAGTGTATGATGAATGTATTAAAAAGCTTAAGCTAGTGGAAATCATTACTATATAATTATAACATAATCCTATGCTTCCCTTAATATATAAATATAAAACAGTAAAGATCTTCATTATCCTAAAATTTGTCTAACTCTACAATAAACATAAATGAGATTCATTCCTCCCTTGTTACAACCTGAAGCAAAATTCATATTGTTTAAGAGCTAGGGTTCAAGTTATCTTTCATGGTAACCCTGTATTACCAGTCTATTCAAAATTGTTTATACATAAAATGCCTTCAAAAGCACTTGGTCACCAAGGATTCAATTACAAAGCCTGCCTAACCCTACTTGTTTACCCCAATCTGTTAAGTATCTCGAAGCAAGTTTTCATTCCTAATACTATCATTCTCATCAATACCATCATTATAGTTACATAACCATTACTGTAATGATATCAACTTTTATAACGTAATGAAACAAACACGTGCTTTGAAAATTCAAGGAATGGTGTGAACAGATGCGATCTAGGAAGCCTAATAACACACTTCTTGGGGATTAAGCAAACTTATGAAGCCATCTGTGTATACACAAAATTAAATTAAAATAAAGGTGGACAGGGTATCTGGCTTTAACAGGTTGAATTCAGGTACAATTTTTCACTTTCATAAAAACAAAGCTTTGATCTAATGTGAAAAAGCGATCCTCTTTCTGGACATGTTCTTTATATCAAATGTCAAATACTAAATGATTTTAAATTACTATTTTATATTAGCAGGGGAAAAAAAAAATCCATTTATCCATGAACAATTAAGTTTTAATGAACTTAAACCTTGCATTGCTATGAGAATACAGGCAAT